AGACTGTAACGCTGTAATGTGTCCCCCTGCTGAGTGTAACGCTGTAATGTGTCCCCTGCAGAGTGTAACGCTGTAATGTGTCCCCTGCAGCCAGTAGAGTGTAACGCTGTAATGTGTCCCCCTGCTGAGTGTAACGCTGTAATGTGTCCCCTGCAGAGTGTAACGCTGTAATGTGTCCCCCTGCAGAGTGTAACGCTGTAATGTGTCCCCTGCAGACAGCTGTTTCCAGCAGCAGGACGTGGGTATCTGCAGTAACTACACCATGATGTGGTTCTTCGACTCGGAGCAGAGCGAGTGTTCGCGATTCTGGTTCGGAGGCTGCGGAGGAAACAAGAACCGCTTCACCACACAGGACGAGTGCGAGAACCTCTGCCTGACGAAGAGCCGGTGAGGAGGAGGACGAGGAGGAGGAGATCACAGAATATCACACATGCATCTCCCTGAGGAAACACCAAAGACTTAATGAATGACTTCAGAAATGTTGTTGTGGGACTTTTAAACGAAACTAAAAACACCTTCAGGGAAAGTTTAAACGTTCCCAAAAAGCAAAGTGCTTCTGAGGAAGTTATTTCTTTGTTTTATTTTAAACCTTCACCATTTTGCAATACAGCTTTAGGGTAGAGCTGCAAGACTGTTCTTCACATCAGGTGCTCTCTCCGTCAGCCGCTGGTCCGCAGGCTGATGGAGAAACGTGTGTTTGAAGGGGTCGCCTCAGAAAATACAATAAAGTGTTTTTATGTAAACGAGCTCCATGTGTTTCTTTAACTAACTGATCAGCTGCTGAGAGACAAACAGGAAGTGAGACAGCCGCTGGACATCGTGATTCTGTCATTTTAGGATTTAAATGTTGTGATTTGAAAATGTATTGAAGGGTAGCCCCCTGAAATATAGCATGTAGCGAGGGTCTTCAAACATAATGATAAAACACATACATACATTACATATCAGAGGTCGGACCAAGTCATTGTTTTACAAGTCCAAGTCCTAAACTTTGACAAAACGAGTCTTAAAGGGGACCTATCATGCAAAATGCACTTGGGTACGTCTTCTCTACATGAACATGTGTCCCCGTGTTCCATGGAACTCACCAAGTGTCAGAAAACACAACCCTCTCTATTTCCCTCCAAACCCAAATCTCTAAAAAAGGGGCTGCAACGGATCTGATACAGACTGATCCAGATTTGAACACTTCTATGACGTCACAGAAGTGGCGCTACGGCTATTGGGCCAACTCCACCAATCAGGAGGAGACAGCCACGGACATTGCCGTTGGAAAGCGCTGGAGACGCTGTAGTACATATGCCAGGCCTGTAGATGGTGCTGTTCTCACAGAATCAGCCCATGATGCAAAGACAGTGTTAAATTGAGCGAAATGAGGAATGGCTAAAATGCATGATCTGTTTTGTATTTTGAAAAATGAAAAGTATAAATATTCCTTATATAGGTATGGTCCTACACTATATTATTCAAATATAGCATGATAGGTCCACTTTAAGTTAGGATTTGATATAAAGTTACTGTCTGAAAAATGAACCCAACTCTAACATTTTAATAAGTGAGCTTTAAAGTTGATGGTGGGTAGGTAGGCTCGGTTAGCCGTTCCCCTACTTCCTGTCTTTATGGAAAGATACGCTAACCATACCAGCTCTATATTGGAGACACAAACAAGTTACACTTCATAATGCTGTATTTTAATCTGAGAGTTAGCATCACACTCACATAACTGCTGGACGAATGGCGTGAACTCCTGATGTTGGCTCAGAGGAAGGATGGAACATTTGTATGGAGCCACAGTGGCAGGGAAGCTGAAATACTGGAGAACAATAAGTCCTTTTCAGTTCAAAGTTCACAGTAAAAACATTCAAACAAGCATGAGATTCTCACTCAGACGTCCTTTCTTGTTTCACAGCGTTCTTACCGTCCTCTGTTCGTCGCCCTCCCTCTTGCGGAACGAGTGCTCGAAGATGGAGTACATGATTCTGCCGATGCCAAAGGACGGCTCGATTACATTGGGAACAATCTCCTCCACTGTGGGAAAACACAGACGGTTGATTTCCCACAAGAATCATTATCCTGCTCTACAGCTCTGAAGGCGGGTCTCTTACCGTGCAGAGTCTTCTGGAACCGCTTCACACTGACCATGTCTTTGGTCACTTTGAATGTCCGTCCCTGAGTCTCAATGCTGAACTCTCTACGGACATTAAACACCACTAATTTAACAATATAAAAGACACAAAAGGACATTAATATATAGGTTCTTAAAGGCAGAATTTACCCTTTGTCCGTGAGGAGCTTCTCCTGGTCGGTGATGTAACATTCGTCACACCCGGCCAGGAACTCCAGAACCAGTTTAGCATCCTTCTTGTAGGAAGTTCCTATGGCTCCCTTATTGGGCTCAAACTGGACAACGTTTACCACTTTGTGCGAAGAAGTTAAAGCGTTAAACTGAGGAATCCAGCGTACAAGCGATAGAGCAAAGCAAGAGTAAGTAACTGAGGATATCGGTCATTAAAAGTTTAAAAAATGATATTACGGTTGTAGGGTTGTTTTAGTGTGAGAATGAAAGGATATGGGTTCTTTCAGGAGCTTCTCGGCCACTAGAGGGACCTTCGTGGCTTTGGAGTGACACGACAGATCATAGCAGGCGCGATCAGCACATCCAACGATCTCAATCCAGCCCTGAGAGACACAAGCAGACTCGATTTCACTTGTGTCCACTCGTTTCTTAACTCTATGCATCAAATCAAATCAAGTTTTATTTATATAGCACATTTATAAACGATTTTTGGTCGAGCCAAAGTGCTGTACATATAATAAAAATAGCCTACAGTAGAGACACTTTACAGCAAATACAACAGCACAGATTGTTCAGAATATCAGTATGAGAAAAAACGACGCCCTCTGTCCCTAGACCCTCACATCGTACAAGGAAAAACTTCCAGAGAAAACCCACAGTCGGCATGTAAACATCCAAGAAACTATTATTTACGTAGGATGTTTTGGACTCAGCGTCCCAGCAGTCGCAGGCGTAGTGAGCCATCTCGTTCTCCATGTGCTGACGGAAGCGCACTTTGTCTTTGGACAGCCCGGCTTTGATCAGATAGAGGTAGATCCTTCCAATGAAGTAACCCAACACTGAGTTGTTGATCACCCCCTGTAACAGACACAGAGGTATGGAGATGGTCATTTGTCAGGAAACATCAGTAACTATATCCACAATATCTAACACGTCCATTATTTGTGTCCCACCTGCTCCACAGCGTCCCCCAGCCTCATGATCTGTGCAGACTGACCACTAGTCTGAGCCTTGGAAGAAAACAGCAGAATATCCAGGTCGGCAACGTTAGAGAATTTCGGGTGGTTCTTCTCGTCTGGATCCACAAAGTGCTCGATCTCAGCCATGGTGAACTCTCTGTGAGGAAGATTTAACGTCACTGTATTGTCATTATATCTGCAGGTGAGTAATGAGGAAGCTTCTAGCTACCTGACACGGATGAGTCCAGATCGAGGAGAGATCTCGTTCCTGAAGGAGTTTCCGATCTGAGCGGCACCGAAGGGAAGTTTTCCCTGGTTGAACTCCAGCAGACGCTTGAA